TTGTGTAACAGCTGTTTGTCAAGTATAATAATTTTGAAAATTATATTCTGAATATTATTGGTCACAAACTCATCACGATATTCATCAAATTTTAATCTGATTAGTTCAATGGCTACTATTAAAAATTGATATTTGCAGTGTGCAGAGAGATAATATTGATAAATCTGAACTTTTTGCATGTTCATATTTTAAATCATGTTGCCAAGATATTGTCAGCCATGTTGCGACTTCATCAATAGTTTTCTATGCAAATAAAATGTGTAACATGTTGTGATCTCTTGTGATGTGATGTACATGTTATTTTGCCACAAAATGTACTAAAAAATAAAACAACTAAGACCACCAATGGCAGGCACACTCCCTATTTTTGATTCTGTGTTTCAAATTTCAAAACAAACAAACTATCGAACACAGTATTTCAAACTGGAATTGACACAGAAAGAGATCTTTGTCCCAATATGAATAGTATTAAGGAAGACATGAATTGTGTTTTTTGGGCCAATTTATTATATATACCGGTAATACCAAGCCAAAATTATGTTTGTGACACTAAATGTAAATGATGGGTCTATTCTATTATGGCAAACAAAAATAAATTTTGTTTTCAATCAAAGATTTCTTGAAAAAATGCTGCAGTGATGCAATACATGCATTCTGAGTTGAGTTCTTTTGTTTTTTATTCAAATATGCCTATGTGAGTATTCATGTAGTACAACAAAGATCATTTGTCTCACTAATACATGCATCAACAAATATGAAACATTATTATTAGTCTTATTATTTTTCACTTTATCATTTAATTACAGGCCTGTCTTCTTCCCAGGATTTACCAGACACTTACAACCTAGTACGAGAATCTATGATGAATGAACAACTGATTCCAAAATTTGAAAATGAAATCAAGGAAGAGCTAAAATTATTGGTTGAAAGTATGATTGATGAGAATGGTCAGAAGTTTGATCCATTTCATCACGTTCATATTTTCACAACTAATATTGCTTGCTATATGTGTTTTGGTAAAAGGTTTGAGCATACTAATCCAGCATTCAGTGAACTTGTATTAGCTTTGAGAGAATTCATGAAAGCTTACATTGGTAGTACCATGTTGAATTTCCAGCCACTTATGTGGTACCTGCCAATTCAGAAGGTTAAGTCACTTCGAACAAGTCATGCCAAATTGATTACTGCTATATCAAAGTTGAATGATGAGAACTTGAGTCATGATGAGCCACAGGATATGGAATTCTCGTACCAAATGGTGGATCTGATAATCAACTGTAGTGAAACTGTATGCGCTACTATATTATGGACTATTGTTCATATGGCTCAGAACAGACATGTACAAGAACAGGTACAGCAAGAGATTGGTATTACCCTAAAAACAGGAAATGCGCTGTCTTTTTCTAATTCCTCACAGATGAGTTATACTGAAGCATCTATATTAGAAAGTCAGCGTTTGGCTTGTGTTCTTCCGCTAGCATGGCCTCACTCTGTTATTCATGATGTGGAGTTCAGGGACTTCATTGTACCTAAGGGCACTCCAGTCTTGATAAATATAATGTCATCTCACCTGGATAAAGATTATTGGATTAATCCTGAGGAGTTTGATCCAGAGAGATTCCTGAATGTCAATGGAGAGATTAAAAGCAGACTTGGATTCTTGCCGTATTCTCTAGGTGAGCGGTTTTTTTAATGAGGCTGAAATTTTGCTATGGGACAAAATATATTGAAAGTTAACTTAATTCTTATTTATCAGTGTAAATTTCTCTAGAGTAATTCAGTATTCTTGAATAACTATTTTATCATGCAAATCTTTCCTGTTTTCAAAATTCACACTGTAATAATAACTTGTATCTAATTATTTTTAAAACAATTTTTCACAAAACAATATATTAATATAACTGTTTTGTTATATAAGTCTCAGATTTGTGAGTGAAATAACAGTAAAAAAATTGTTTTGATGACGTACATTTACTTAGCTGGGTCAACTTTTCTAACAATACCAGCACAAGTGTGCTTGATTCAGCTTCATTTTAGGATTTTAGGGACAGTTAATTTTTTTACTGACATTTACATTAATTTGATTTGATAAGTCTTCTCTAGTGTCTTTGATTTAACTACTCTTCAACTTGAAATTTTGAGCGCAGGATTTATTGGCTTATGCATAGGAAGCATAATTGTAGTGTAAACCTTTAAATAAAACATAATAGTGTGTATCGGTACATTTTAATTAATTTTTGAGATCAGATATCAATTGAACTAAAAATTATTTAGTAAATAATATCGAAGACACTAGTGTTGTTCATAATACATAGTTAACATGTATATCATATCTTTATTTACTTAGGTGCTTCTTCATGTCCTGGTGAACGATTGGCTAAATTAGAATTGTTCATGTGTTTTGCTACATTGATGAAGAGTTTCTCTTTCTGTCTCGATGACTCCGGTGCAGAGAATGACGTGAAATGCAAACCAGGGCTTATTTCTTATCCAGCTGAATTCAAAATCACTGCTACGAAAAGAAAATAGCTGCTCATCAACTTGAAATAGATGAATGACATCTATAGTTGAGTTTCTAAATAGCATTAGAATCTTATCATCTTAAAATGAACTGTTCAATGTAGAAACATACTATACACTATGAAGACTTTTGGTGTGATCTGCAGAACACAAAACATGGTGTTGTCTTTATGATAATTGTTTTCCACTGATATCTCACTTGCCAATCATGGAGGGGAGAGAAAACTATAATCACCCAATGGAACAGCATTTACTGCAATCTGTGCATGCAGTATTAATTTACTTATTAGTGATTTATAAGTATTCTACAATTCAAATAAAACTCAACAATTTGACATTTCAGTCTTGTTTACAATGCATATAAATATCTGTATAATTTTGTCTTTGCAATATAGTTACCTTCAGTTACATAACAAATATTTCATGTATGGTCTACTTAATAACTGATTCAAAAAAATTGAATTTTTACAAACATTACCTGAGATTCAATCATCAGATCATATGTAAAGTATTCTGTTTTTGGTCACCTCAGCGATCCAGTGCCCTATATTTTATGTAAGTGAATTAGCCAGAAAAAGTAAGCTGCCCAAAAATTGCCAAGAAATGCTTGCTAATAAAGTTCTGAAGCTAAAATTTAAATACAGATGAAGACCAGAATGCTTAAAATTGTTTTATAGAAGTGGTAGAATTCTAATTGGCTTCGGAAGCGATATTAACTGTTTGTAATTAGTTCCTGTTCAGGCGAAACCTGAAAGGGGAGTACTAGTTTTACTTTCTTTCTCATTTTCAAGTTGCTGCAAGTTATCTCTCACATTTTCACAGGGACTCTGCTGCAGATGTCAATGAAACTTGGCAGGTTGATGAACAAGTCTGTGTTACATATGCACATAATTTGTTTTCCAGATCTGAAAATCCTAAGTGGGCCTTTTTCAAGATTTTTTTCCAAAATTACCTCTCTCTACTACACTGACAGAGCAACTGAGCATGCTCAGAATAATTGATTCTGTTAAATTCAGATTCAGATTCATGAATTCCTGATTTCTGATTCACAAGTTTTACCAAATGTATTTGATCAGTAGTGTATACTTTTCAGAACTCAGAACCAATTTTGCAGAACTCAATTTAAAAATAGCTTCCTTAATATCGGAAGTCATCTTTCAGGTTTTTATTAATATTACCGCACCCTACCCAAAAATGCAAATTCACTACGTTCAATTACCCACCATAGACTCCGGTCAGTCAAAATGACTATTTTGAACTGTAGGCATTAATCAGAGATTCTGCAGGTGAGGGAGAGATAGAATTTAGGTCAGGGGAAGCCCCATGACCCCAAGAGTCTCTTTCCCTTGCGTCACGAACCACGTAACCAAGGCCATATGGCAGCGCCATTAACGGCTGGACAATCACTTTGATTTTTTCTTCGCCTCGAATGGAGATGAAATCTAGCGAGCTCTGCCTGGATCGCTTGCTTTTTTCCTGTCTAGGTTTCTAGCTTGGGTTGTTGCTGCTGGGCGGCATTCGATATTCTTTACCCTTGTGTCATTTTCCCCTTTGTGTGTAATATTTTCTTTTTTCACAACAAAGAAATTATAAGCCGGCGCCACTACGTAACCACTTGTTGGTTTCGTGGCGGCACCTTTTACTATAATTCGCTTCCCTCATGCATGTCGTCTTCATTTTATGCTTGATCTACGTATTTAGAAATGAATAGATGTAATGACAGCTCCATGACTCGCTGCCGTTTTTTGGTCTCCTCTTTTTCGAGTCGACTGTGCAGTGGTTATATTCAGAATTTACCAGCATAGAACCTGCAACCGATATGTTTTTTCGCCGTGGCTGCGTGCGAGGCTCGAGGTCTTTGCCTTGAAGGCGTGTGTTTTTCACCGAAGTTCTGAGGCCTGAGATATTTTTTTTTCAGAGCCATCAAAATCGCTGAGACTGACTGTGTCACTCGTTTTTTCACAGCAAGGTCGCGTGTCCAGTAAAAGTTGGTTAAAGTGAGTTGCGTGTTTGGCATGAGTGGAAAGTCCTCACACTCGGCTACCGGTGCTTCATGTACCGGGATGTCTAGTAGGAGGCCCGAGAGTGGAGCACCCCCCTCGCAACTGCCGAACCCATGGCCACATATCCCTGATCAGAGGGCATTCTCACAGTCTGTGTTTTCAGACGGTGGTTTACCCAATTTTACCGGCTACAGCGAGGCTGTGCCCCTGGAGGTTTTTTCCTTCTATGACTCCCGTAGCGGGTCCCTTTGTGGATCCTTCCTCACACAGCGCTGGATTTGCCTCCGAGTTGAGGGCTTTGGTCGAATGACTGTCGGGGCAAATTGTGTCACTGGCAGGCCAGGTAGGTCAGCAGCGGAGGAGGTACGCTTAAGGCCCCCGGGTGGGGTAAATCTTTTGCAACACTTTCCGCTGGACCAAACGCTACCCGGTCTGTGTGGTTTCGGGATCAGTGCCCAAAGTGTGGGATGAGACCAAAATACCCCAACCGGATCCCAAGGCTCCTTCCCCAGACCCTGGTACCACAAATTTCCATTGGACAGACCGGGAAAAGGGGGACAGGCACGTTCCATGGGCGTTCTCACCAGCTCAATCTGAGACGATTCATCACGCCCTGAGGGCAGAGTTGCTTGAGCGCATTATTGTGTGTGCCCAGGACTCGGAGACCTCAGAGACAGAACGCACCCATTTATTGGTGGGCCACCACACATCTACGTGCGACATCCCCTAGTGTCACCTGGCTCTCTTGGCTGGGGCCACTACTGCGCAACGAGACACTCAGTAATGCAGACTGGACATCTTCCACCCTCTTTGTTCAGGGAATGGTGGGTACAGTCTCGGAGCTTCGGAGTGCAATGAACCAGAGGGTTCAGATCGAATCTGCTAGCCAGTTGGCCCTGCCAAGGGCAAGCCGAGGACTCTCCAAGCACAGAAAACACAACACCCTAGGGCGTCATGTGCTAGCCAGAGTCAGCTAGGAGGCAAGCGCTCATACCCTTTCATGGGAGGGAAGAGTAGTGGCACGCCCCCAGGGAGGAAAGAGCCAGGTGGTGGCTCCTCACCCTCCTCGGGCGGACGAATACCCCATCAGTGGGGAAGCGTGTTTAACGCTTACCTCTGCAACCGGGGGGACAGCCATGTGTTCGGCAAGTGGCCAGGTCACAACTTAGTGACTACTTCAGGCCTTGGGGAACTCACCTCATGGGAGAAGAGAGCAACCCTCTCGCAACTGTCGAACCCATGGCCACATATCCCTGTAGTACACAGATTGCGCCGGTGTTGTCCGGTTTGGAGACAGCGTGTGTCCGATCCCTGGACCTTTCCAGGTGTTGACATCATGTTATGGGATACCGCTGAAATCTCCATCTCCCCTGTCAGTGTCTCCCCTGTTGGGCACTGCCAGGGGACTCCCGCAAGGCAGAAGCAATCAGGCAGGAAGTAGCAGTTTGCTGGGAAAAGATGCCATACACTGCGTAGATCAGCCGGAACTAAGTCCAGGCTTCTACCCAAATGTGTTCGTAGTACCAAATCTACAAGTGGCGGGCGTCTAGTTCTGGATCTAGGCAGACTGAATCAGTACATGCTCCTTGATCGGTTCCACATGGAGACGTCATTCAGGATTCTTCTCTCCTTCCACCGTTTTAACTGGCTAGCCCCACTAGACTTAAGCAGGGCCTACCTGCACACACTGATGCACCCAGCGAGTTGCCATATCCTTCGAATCGCCCAGCTGGCCAAGTATTCAACTTTCGGGTGCCCCCGTTAGGGTTATGCACAGCGCCCTACGTGTTCACTAGAGTGATGAAATTGGTAGTGCTGCTGCTTCACCACATGTCGGTACACCTCAATCCGTACCTAGACGACTGAATACTACACAACCCGGACAAGGGTTGTTAACAGATGCCTCTTCTCAAGGATGGGGAGCGCATCTATTGGACGAACAAGCCCAAGGATATGGCCCCTGCATTAGTTTTGGGAATACCATATCAACCGGCTCGAACTGAAAGCAGTATATTTAGCACTACCATGCTTTCTACCCGTAGTTCGAGCCCACAGAGTCCTGCTCCGCACAGGCAACGCAGCGGTGGTCTCCTTAAAGAAGGAGGGGGACGTGTTCCCCATCGTTGTCAGTCCTAGCATAGCAAATCCTCCTTTGGTGTCTGGAATGCAATGTGGAGCTAAACACACACCATCTTCCAGGGATGAGGAACAGTCTGGCAGACGGCCCTTTTAGGGCGGCTCCGTCTCCAGAACATGGAGTGGCTGATACAAGCCTCCAGGCTGTTTCGGCTGTGGGACGGTTCAAGGTTAGACTGGTTTGTCACACCCCGGAATGCCAAGCTCCTGACGTACGTAACACTCCTGCCATCTCCAGGAGCCTTGGCCAGGATCGCTTTGCTAACCCTGTGGACCAACTTAGTTGTGTATGCCTTTCTTCCTTCTCGCTTTATTTCACCGAGCACCGGAGAAAACTTAGACAGGTGCACACCTGCATATTATCATTGGTCGCATCCAATTGGCCAAGCAAGGCCTAGTTTCCACTTCTGTCGGAAATGCTAGTCGAAACACTAGTAGTGCTTCCGGACTTACCGGACCTGCCGTCCCAACCAGATGGCGCACTACCAGCGAGCCCAGTGGGTATCACTTACATGCATAGAGGCTCTCATTAGACCCGCACATACAAAAGCTTTATCTGAGCATGCTGCCAACATCCTGGTCAGAGCAAACAGGGATTCCACCAACGCGTCCTACATTTCTAGGCTGCGGGCATACACTGATTGGTGTAGCGGAAGGGAGATTGATCCATACCATCCTTCTATTGGCCAGGTAGCAGGCTCCTTCATCCACCTGTTTGATGAAGTGAGTTTGTCCTACGCAGTGATTGTTGGCTACAGGTCGGCCTTGTCTCCCACCATTGAGAACGTACAGGAACAAGACTAGCCGATTGTCCTATTATCCAGATGCCGAGACCCCATACAAGGGAACTGCCCAACTGGGACTTGTCGG